GGATGGATGGATGGATGATTTTTAATCCACCAAATAACAACAAAAAAAGCAAAAGGAACAGACTTATATTAAATGAAGTAACACTGACTCATTGCCTTAAAGATATGCAACCAGCTGTGCTCATGTGTGAATTCAAAAAGCCCAACCTTTCCTGTGGTGCGTAAATATCCTCTAATTTGTAGCTAAACAAAAGCTAATTTTGAATGTGGAAATTATAAAGATTTTTGGGAGAACATATTTCAAATTTAATGGTGTACTAAAAGTTTGTCCTTCTTTTAGGTACACGGCCACCATTGAGAAGATTGATTATGACAAAGAGCGGGTCCTGATCCACTACCTGCAGTGGAGCCGTCGCCATGACGAGTGGTTTCAGTGGAACTCACCGTACCTGCGGCCGAAGGAGCGAGTCAGCCTGAGGAGGCAGGGCCTGAATCCAACGCGATCACAGCCGGTATAGAACACGTTAGACGTACACAGATGTTTCTTTTTAAATAGTTTTTAAAACCTCAGTATCAGTGTCATGGCAGGGATGCTGATACTGAATAAGATTTTATTTTTCTAAGATGCATGAACTGAAATAATAGATTTAATTCCTGCATTTAATTCCTAGATACTCTGCATTTGAAGTAAATGTGAAAATATCAGAGCCTGTACTACAACTTGGTTCATCGTATCCACAATATATTTCTGTTATCATTTACCCCACCATCAGTCAGGACGTGGACAGACGATGAGGCTGTCATTTTAAATACATTTGAGGAGGTTAGGCTCATAATACAGACTGACAGTGAAGCAGCTGCTGTGGACAGAGCAGCAGAAACTGGGTGTGTGTTTTAGGGCTGCCACGATTAGTCGACTAGTCACGATTATGTCGACTATCAAAAATTTCGATGACAAATTTAATGGTCAACGCGTCGTTTGAAGCTTTGTAAGATCCAGAAAGACGCAGGAATAAATATTAGGATTTAAGAGTGTAATAGCGGACTGAAACAGAAGGTGGCAGCACTGCATGTACAAAGATGCCAGCTGCCATTAAACCCCGAAGAAGAAGAAGAAGCTGTCTCCAGTATCGTAGCTGTTGTCCAAATTTACGGGCTGCATCGTTAGGAGGCAGCGTTTGATTACGTTACAGGGACGCGACGAAGGCTTTCCAAATTTGAAGATTTCTCCAAATGTGTCCTCCTTTTCCCCAAATTTGAAGGATGAGTCGGATGTATCCTTCGTGGCCCAAATGATCCCAGAATTCATAGCGCGACCCAGCCAATTCCAGTTTCCATCAATGGCGGCAGCCACTTAGTTTTAATATTACTCTTTCTGGGTCACAAAATAAACTTTTAACACATTTTTAGGCGAGAATGTAGCTGTGCAAACTTCAAATGTCTGCTCGGTTTATGAAGACATCACAAATTTGTAAAAGTGCCCCGACGTTTTCGGAGACTTCTGCTACCCACCCGCTCGATAGCTGGAGGGTTCAAGGCTCACTAGAGCCGGCGTAAAACACCAGACTCCCTTCACTACCTGTTATATTTTAGATGGCAAGGAGCAGACGGCTGAGTTTATTAAACTCCACCGAGACAATCTGCAAAATTCATTAAAAGTTTAATAAACTATCATCTTGTCTTTAGTTAGCACAGACCTTAAACACTTAAAGCTGTAAGCTAATGATAGTTATATAAGAGCAGATGCTGCTGGTGCAAGAAGCTGTAAGTTTTACAGCCAATGGATGATGATCTAACTAGTCGACTATCAAAATAATCGTTTGTGGCAGCCCTAGTGTGTTTTAATAATGTTGGTCAAGAAGACTAGAAACATTATGACAATAATAAGTTGAAGCTAGGAGAATGTTGACTGTGTAAGCTAACAGACGTTTTCTCTGCGACTCAGACGTTTGTTTCAGGCTCAAAGGTTCTGGCCTGTTGGACCGACTGTCGTTTCTACCCGGCCAAAATCCTCCGCGTCAACAAGGACGGTGAGGTTCAGCTGTGACCTTTTACCTCTGCTGTTTTTCTACTGTATTCTACTGCTGGTTGATTTACTGATTTGGGGGGGGGGGAAAGGTCAGTGCAGCTGTTTATCACAAGGTTGTCTGATAAATCATTAAGCACCTACCATCTGCACCCCTCACTAACTTTTGGCTATTCAATGGACCCATGCATATGTTTTCTTTCATAGTATATATCGTAACGATTCAGATTTAGCTTGCTTCTGCACTTAAGAAGTGAGGAGGTCTTAATGATACTGGGAGAAAATGAGGTGAGAGGCCCAAAATTTCAGCCCACCCCTCTGTGCTTCTTGTTCCAGTAACTTGACTAGTATGGAGGTAGGATTGTGTGTGGGTTCATTAATTACACTAAGTTACTCTACAATATAAGTCGGCTAATCCTGAGTGGTTTTCCTGATTCAATGATATTAATTATTTTTACAGTTGAAGCTGATACATTGGACTGTTAAAAACATTTCATTAAAGAAAAGTCAAATAAATCCTGATTAATTCATACTAAAAACTCTGGTTTGGAGTCGAGTTGCTGCCTCAGGTGGGAGAGGTGAGGTATCTCTGGGCTTTGTTTGAGGCACTTAGGTGGAGATTGAAGCAGGAGATTGACAGAAGGGCTGGTGCAGCTGGACCGGTCTGTTGTGAAGAGGGAGCTGAGCTTGAAGGCGAAGCTGCCAATTTACTGGTTGATCTACATTCCCTCTCTCATATGTGACCCCGAGCTGTGGGTAGTTACCAGAAAATAAGATTGTGCATTCAAGTGGCAAAAATTGGGCTCTGCCTTCAGACAGAGCTCAGAGCACAGCCGTGCTCCTTTGCATCAAAAGGTGCCGGTTGAAGTGGTTCGGTCGGCTCTGACCCAGATAAGCTCAGTGAATGGATGGGCGTCTTTTAAGTCCTCCCTTCATGCTGTTTGACTCCCGCTGTCCGTCTTTGGGTTGTTTGTGCTGCGTTCCTGTTGTTACTGAAGCGAATCGGCTGTTTTTGGAACATCATTGATCTAAACCTGGTGTTTGTGTTTTCCTGTGTCAGAATCCTACACAGTGCGATTCTATGATGGCGTGGTTCGGACTGTGAAGCCCACCAAAGTCAAACCTTTCCAGGAAGTAAGAAATGCTTCTCTCTAATTGGTCCTCGTCTACTCAGTGTTTCACACAATCACAACGTCTTTGATCCTTAATGTGTTTGTTTTTGTTTGTTTGTCGTTCTTAGAAATCCAGATCTGAGAAAAGTGCTGTGGGAAGCGAGGGATGGGAGGAAGGTGAGAGTGAGGAGGAGGAAGGAGGAGAAGGACAGGAAGAAGAAGAGGAGGAGGAGAAAAAGGAGGAAGAGGAGGCAGATGAGAAGGTGACAACAGAAGAGACCGATGCAGCTTTGGAGAGGGAGGAGGACAGGAAGAGGAAGGCAGAACCTTCATCCTCAAATCCACCTGCCAAGAAGAAAACAGATGACAGTAAGTAAGATGACCTCTGACCCCAAGCGCCCGCACACTGTAGATCTGTCCAGATGTTTGGAGGCTCTGCAGCTCGTCAGCAGGAGCAAATTAAAATGGTTAACAATGGTCTGTCTCTCTTCCAGGCAGAAGCAGTGGAACTCAGAATCAGCCAATCACAGCTGACTCCACCCCCCCAGCAGCAGCAGCACTTAACCCTGCCCACATAGACAGAGGTACACTTATCTCTGTAAACAGATATCTGCACAGGAATATGGAGAATACATGAAGGGTTTCTGGTTTCCACTTGTAGTCCGGGTCAGAGTCCGGTTTGAATATGCACGAAAAAGTGAGGTCCTGTTTGCCGAAATGAAACCTGAAAACCTTCAGCTACAATCTTACAACAACTTAGGCTTTTATAAGCTTTTCTAAATATGTCTGCATTAGAAAAGCCACAACTGGGACAGGGGGCTGCAAGTCTCATCCAGAATATCAACAGACGACACCGTCTCTGCACCAGCAAATCCTACAGCAGCAGACTCGCTGATGGTGCCTGAAGTCGACAGAGGAGGACTTTAGACATGCGTGTATTGGTCCAAACATGAGAACTCCACAGAACATGTGCACATTTTACATGGTTCTCTTAGCTTTAAGACGATGTCTGTGGGGACTGTCTCACTCAGGAGGACAGCAGACATAGTTCTTATTAGACCTGGGTGAGATGGACAAAACTGTGACATGTTTTTCATACCAGTCAAATCACTATTTCTGTCCAGCTTAAAGACGACCTCTACTCCAAAGTGAAGATAAAATGTTAATTTTGACTTAAATATAAATTATTTTGTGTCACACATTGAACGTGACTAATGTGCTGTAGAATATTATACAGGTGTACTTTGAGTACATACTGCTAGTGTATGTGAGCATATAATAAAGTAAAATCTTAATTTTGACCGGTAAGAATGTTCAAGCCAACCCGAGGATAAAACCACGGTGAATGTGAGAAAATCCAGTTCTTAACAGATGAAACGCAGTTTAACTTTGTTCGGAGGTGCTTCTCTTATTTGGATCAGTAAGTGGTTATGCTTCTGTAACGTACTTGACCTGTTTGTTTTATTTAATCGGGCGATCGTGGCTCAAGAGTTGGGAGTACACCTTGTAATCGGAAGGTTGCCGGTTCATTGTGTCCTTGGGCAAGACACTTCACCCGTTGCCTACTGGTGGTGGTCAGAGGGCCCGGTGGCGCCAGTGTCCGGCAGCCTCGCCTCTGTCAGTGCGCCCCAGGGTGGCTGTGGCTACAGTGTAGCTTCATCACCAGTGTGTGAATGACTGGATATGTAAAGCGCTTTGGGGTCCTTAGGGACTAGAAAAAGCGCTATATAAATACAGGCCATTTACCATTTAATCTTTGTTTCAGATGTCCTGCTGGAGCGTCAGGCTCACCTTCCCACCACACACAAGTTCAGCAGAGAACCATGTAAGTCCCTCAGTCCTCCACATAAACACAAAAGGTTAGAACGTCTCGATGCATGCTCAATCATCCAGGTAAGTAAATCCCAGGACTGCTGCGACCAGATGAACAGAATCAAACTTTGGGGACAAAAGTTTAGAGTTTAAAAGTTGTTTTTTTTGTCTAATGAAAAAAGTAGGACAGATAAAGACTGTCGGCTGCTCAATCCACACTTGTAATGGGGCGGGAACAGATTGAACATGAAAGGATATCAAATGTTTTAATTGAGAAAATTTGATGGAAGCGACGCCTCTCAAGAGAATATGTACAGGGTGATGTTTCCTCTGTGTCTTAAACATCTCCGAGCCAAGGAGACCAGCAGCTGGACTCTTGGAAGAGGAATCTTGTCCCATTTTTAGGTTAAAGCTGCTCAGCAGTCCTGGCTCTTCTTTGGTGTCACCATGCTCCAAATGTTTTCAGCCGTGCTGTTGGAATCGATGCTTTCTGTGATTTTAGCATTGTTGTGCTGAAACATGAAGAAGATGTAGAAGTCAGAGATGCAGGCTTTTAAACTGAGCGCTGATATTGAGCCACAGGGTCTCCCTTCTCTTTTTCCAAAAGTCATTAAAACATTTGTCTGACATCGGAACAGTTTTCTGTGAGTTTTGGTTCAGAGAAGACGACGTTGTTTCTGACCGTGTTCAGATGTGGCGACGTGTTTGCGTGATGGAGCTTTAACCTGCTGCCTGAAGATCACGAGCATCGATGCTGAGCCTCCATCCGCACGCAGATACTTCTCCAAATAATCTATAATAATAATTTATGATTTTATTTTATTGTGGATGATGAGACATTTAAAGTCTTCACAATTTCACGTTGAGAAACATTATTGTGAAATTGTTCAATTTGTAGACAGTTCTTTGCAGATTGCTGAATCTCTTTAGTTCTGAGAACGTCCGCCTCTCTTTATACCGACCTGCTGCTAATTAACCAGATGAGGTGCAACACGTTCCTCCAGCTGGTCCTTTCTTACTGTCACTCACTTCTCCAGCGTTTTGTTGTCTGAAGCATTTAATAAAATGGTAAAATGTCTCAGTTGAAATATTTAACTTGTTTTCTGCTTTATTGTGAATAAAATTCATAAGATTTGCAAATCATTGCACAGCATCCAAACTTTTGTGGAACTGTGGTTTTTCTTCAGCTCCAGAGGAATTTTAGATGCCGTCTTAAATTGACAAATTGTGCTTCTGAGCAGACATTTAACGTAGCTTCCTGTCCTCTCTTCGTGCTTGGGGTTACAATACAAAGGCATATTATCAGTGTGCAGCTGCTCCCTTCTTCTTTCTAAGCATGAAAGTGCTGAGGCTATCTAATCCAGTCCCACAGCAGTTAGAAACACTCGGTGTGTCCTCTCCTCTCAGTGTACAGGGTGATAAAGAACCAGCCTCCACCCATCCTCTCCATTGAGCTGGACCACAACCCCTTCAAGTGCCCTGCTCTCGGGTGCACTAAGTCATTCAGGAAGGCGAGCCTGCTGCACTACCACATCAAGTACTACCACACCGACCAGCAGCTGGAGGAGCAAAGCAGCGCGGAGGAGGCCGTGAGGTCGCTTTATGTCCCACGGATTAGATACGGTGAGCAGAGGGCGGTGAGTTTAACGCTGACTGGAGCTATTTTGGGTTTTTTTAGGAGGAAGCGATCTTTTTCAGAGGGCGGCGACTTGGTGTCAGACAGGAGGAGTGAGAACTCAACCAGCGGAGAACATAGCATCATGGGAACAGGTACAGAGCAGAGCACAGCATCAGCACATAGGAGCAGAAAACCAGGCCAACCAGCAGCGTTGGTGTCATTTCTCTCATGTGTGCCTGTTAGTAGAAGCCAAGAAGGATGGGGGGAAGGAGAAAACGGGAGGACTGGATAAGAAGGAGAGGAAGAACTTCCTGCGAATCAAACTGAAGAAGAAGAAAAAGAAGAAGAAGAAGAAGAAAAGTCAGACGGGTGAGACTCATTGTGTCTGTTGACCTTCTTAAACTGAGATTAACAGGTTTGTAAGATATTTGGAGCCTAAAATCAGAGGTCTGCTCTCATCTAACAGTTTGAAGTTCGCTGTAGAAGTGTCATATTTTACCATCCATCTTCTTTCACTTATCTAAGTCAGAGTCATGGGGGAGGTCAGGTTGTCCCAGCTTCCACAGGGCGAGAGGCAGGGTACACCCTGCATAGGCCACCAGTGTGTCGCAGGGCTGACAGAGACAAACAACTATTCAGACTCACATTCACACCTGTGCCCAGTTTAGCATCACCAATTAACCTAACCCCACTAACTGCATGTCTTTGGACTGTGAGGAAGACAGGACCCCCCAAACACGGGGAGATCATGCAGTCTCCATCCATTTCAGCTACACTGGCTTCCTGTTGACTTTCAGTATATTTTAAGATCCTGGTCTTGACATTTAGAGCCTTGCATGGACTGGCACCAGCTTGCATCTCCGATCCGCTACAGCCCGATGTCCCCAGCAGGTCCCTGAGGTCATCTGATCAGGACTATAAAACAGACTAAGAGAGAACTAAGGGCCACAGAGCTTTTAGCCACTGTGGACTCTCTCCCTCAGACATTAAGACTGTGGACTCGGTCGTTGTTTTTAAAAAACAACTCAAAACTCACCTTTTAAAACAGTTTTTAGTTAAATTTCTGCCTGTTTTATATTGTCTGTTTTACCTTTTTATTATTTGTTATCTGTCTAGAAAGGTGCTACATAAATAAAATGTTATTTATTATTTTTCTTCAACTCACATTTTATCTGCTATTGCACTTATTGCATCCTCAAATTTAAATAGAGTCCCATCTGACAGAAGTGTGAACCTGCGCATTAGTAACACTGCAGAAAATGAACTGCAGCGTGTTTGGCTCAGATTTGCTGTTGAGGGCGTTTTGGCTGCTCACAAACACGAGTGTAACGGGAAAGTAAAAACATTTATGTTTTGTTGGAAACGCTGCAGACGAAGCTAAATCACCTTCACGACCTGTTTGTGATTTAAAACTCCTCTTTTTCAGCTGCTTCTCATTAGTTGTTGTCATTACTGTGAGTTACTGAGCACCAGAACAAGTTTGACAGCGTCCATGCGAGCACTGAGCGTCCAATCATTTTGTTGCTTCTCTCTTCTTCTCATCAGGTTTCTGCAGCAGCGACGATGAGAGCTCAGACAGACCTCCGATCACTCTCAAGCTCTCAACTGAACATCACAACACACACGTGCAAGGTGGGAAAACACACACACACTTATATCACAAACACTGATGCGATGTAAAAATTCAAAAACTGAGTTTCTGTACTTTTAGCCGACGATGGCAGCGATTGGTCAACGCTGACAGCAGAGAGTGGAGAGGACACGCCCTCCTGGCCTGTTGGCACGGAGACGGAGGAGTGTGAGGTGGTGAGGTGTGTGTGCGAGGTGGACGAGGAGAATGACTTCATGATCCAGGTGAGACACACAGGAATGATTTGTCTGTAGCTGCTTTTAAAATGAATCCACAGAACTGACAAACAAGTCTGAAAGGAGAGAAATGAATCATGGGAAATATTTTACATCATTCGTGTCCATCAGGTTCTGTTCAATGTGAAAATTTTGTCTTTATTAGGACTTCTTTTGTCACCGAAGGCCTTTGTGTCAGGAATGCTCAGAAACACAGGATTGTTTCGTGATGCTGCTGTGACGTGATCCCAGTGTTTTCTCTGTGTGTGTCTGTAGTGCGAGTCGTGTCTGTGCTGGCAGCACGGGACCTGTATGGGTTTATACGAGGACAACGTCCCACACAACTACATCTGCTACTACTGCAGACAGACCGCAGGTAGGATTCACACTGTGAGCACTTACTGCTGTGCCGAGCCTGTGAAAGAAAGCAGGTAAAGGTGGATTATTTGATAGTTGGTGTAATATAAAACTTTTATATGTTACAGCTAAGGCCTGGAAAAGTTCCTCGACCCCTTGTCGAGTGGTCGTAGGATAGCTCTCTGTGTTTAGGTGAAAGTCAAAGTGTGTGTTTGTATTGTAACCTTTTCTGACTGGTTGGAGAAGGACATGTGACTTATGTGTGTTTGTACCTCAGTGAGTGTGTGAGGCTTCGACGACACGAGCTCCACAGCTCAGGCTGAAGCCGTTTTCAGAGCCCTGCTGGCTCTCTGTGGGTTCCTGTGTGGTGCTCGTGCTTCTCCTCTCATCTTGTTTTCATCTGTAATCCTCATTGGTCCAGGTTGGCGGTGTGCTCAGCGTTTCCGGTCTGAGCCCGACTTGTTGAAATCCGGTCACATGTTTGGCCTGTCGTGTGTGAAGGAGAACTACTCGGAGGTCAACGCCTCCAAGATCTCACACACCAGCCACCTGCTGGCGCACACGTACGGCATCAGCCAGGTCCTCAGCGCCCTGCAACTCAAAATCAGCCTGCTGCGGTGAGTGCGATCGCTCCGGCGGCTCGGCTCATCTGTTCGAGCCCGCAGAGACGTTAGCTCGGTCTGACTGTGGCCGTCTTTCCCCGCAGCTCGCCGTCCCACCCCGACCAGCAGCTGTGGAGGTCACCGTGGAAGCAGGAGGAGAGGCACAGACTGACGTCCAGCCCGAGAGGAGAGCCGCCCGTCTGCTACGTCAGCAGCGAGCACTGTTATCAGAAGCCCGGAGCATCATGGGAAAAAGGAGAGGAGCAGGAGAAAGAGAGGCCGATGGTGACGGTGAAGCAAGAGCGCAGTGGCGAGGAGAAGGTAGAGACTCAGCAGACACTCGTGTAGCCTTTTAACTTCACACGTTTCCTACTCAGAAAGCGAAACACTCGTTCACAAGCGCTCACCAACTCGCTCCACTGCCCGAGGTAACAGGACACAAAACATTTTCATTTATTTGTGCTGTTCACACTGATGGGGGGGAAACGGACGACCGAATGAGTCGTACATGAGCAATAAACTCTAAGCTCGGATTTCACTCCTGCATTAAGGCTGAACATCATAAAATCAGAGCTGATTATTTTGAGCAAAGACGATGAATCTCTTTTTCTGTCTCCTCAAAGCTCTTCTCTGCTGTGAATTTGAGACGCGTGAATCTTCAGCTGTTGGGAGGTTTAGGTGTAGTAAAAAAACAAAGCCTGGCTCACTGAGACCTTGAGCAGAAGCAGCGCCTCACGCTCGCAGCGCTAAGCTCCTGCTGTTGCTATGAGACCAGTGAAGACCAGTTAGAAGCTCATTCTGGTGAATGTGGAACTATTTTTACCTTTTACAGAGTGAGGGGGGGGGAGCGAGGGAGCGAGAGCTGCAGAGGATACTCTGTGAAGATACACCAACAGAAAAGCTGTAACAGGCTTTCTCTGCACAATCACACAGCCTGAGATTTTACAAACGTAAGGCTCGTCGGGTAGATCATGAAAACCTGTCATCTGTTTGATTTCATGGGGACTTTGTCGTTTTTCAGACCAGTTTCTGATCCTGAATTGTTTTATTTCTCTTAACTGTTGGAGAATTCTTGTAGAATAGAAAGAATACATCATTAGTAGCAACGAAATGGAGCTAAAAATAAACGATTGATGGAGAATCAACAAGTGAAACGAGCAGATCACAGTGAAAATATTTAAGTGGACCAGAAGACAAGATGTGAGATGTAAGAGAGATTCTTGCATCCAGAGAGGGTCACGGAAATAAAAGGTTTCGACAGGTGAGCCTGTGGAGGGATTGTACGCTCCTCCTGTGATTGGCTCATGACTCTGTTGCCACCGGTGTGTTTTTCCTGCAGTAGAGGCTGTGGCCGTAAACTGTCTTTGAATTTTTATCTAAATCTTAAGGAGATCACCTGTAAAAAAAAGAAAATAATTATTTATTTATTACAGAATAAGCAGGCCATGACTTGTAAAACCTAAATTTCATATTAAATTGTAAAGTTACTGAAATATAAACTGGAGATGTAATCTAATAATATTCTAATTTCAGTTCGGCTATTAGATGAAAATCGATAAAAACTGAAAAATGTCCACCTGACCCTTCAGAATCAGCTGATCTCTTTGAACTTTCTAAATACAGCAGAAACTCCAGGACTCAGAATCCAAAGCCAGCATTATTATCTGTTTAACCAACTCTGAGCATCACGGCTTGTATTGTAGCTGCAAGAGGTTTAACACTGTGATGTAACAGAAACAAGGACCTGGGGTTCTGTGGGGGGCGAGGGGGAGGCCGCATTTTCTCCAGAAAAGGGAATTTTCAAGCATCATTGGCAGAGTGTCGTTATTCAAACTACTCTGAAAAACGAATTAGTCTTCGTGTGTCTCTGGCTGCTGTTTGTTAAAAGCATCTGTCATTCTCTCCGTGTAGGAAATAAAACCTGAAGATGTCAACAGGAGCGCAGCTCATACCGCCGCAGACAGAGACGCCACCGCACTCACAGATGTGCACAACATAAAAACAGAGAATCACGCAGGCGGCGGCGAGCAGGCGCACACTCGGACGTGCGCAGCGCAGCCTCGCGCGGCGTCGGTGGCCGAGTGTCAGCTGAACCTGCTGGAGCACATCGAGTCCCTGCACCAGCAGATCAGCGCCAGGATGGACGTGATCGAGAGAGAGCTGGACGGTAACGCACACGTTGAATGTAAAAGACAGAGTTGCACACAACACTCCACATTAATCATCATTCAGTGTTATTAAAATAGTCACGGTGGCTTCGTCTGGTTACGAAAGCAGAGAGAAATATTTAGAGAAAGAAGCAAGTAAGTAATTATCCACCGCGAGTTAGAGCCGTTCTAGCTGGAGGAGAATAATTACTGAGGCGTGGCAGGAAGAAGAGAGAAGGTTCGGGTTTTGCGTCGCTTCACTTGGAGGGGTCGTGAAGCTCATGCATCCTGATCGCCGTGTTCCTGCCTGCTGCTCCACTTTCACCGTATTGATTATTTAGAACTGACATTATTGTGAAAAAGTATCTATCGCATCTTCATTGCATGTTTGGCCTTTAATTTAATTGGGATTAGAGAGGTCTCGCTTCACTGCTGGACATCATGTATCTTGTGTGACTGACAGCAGCATGTGCCTGAGCGTGATACAGCAACGCTGGGTTGGACGTGATGAGGCGTCAGTCGTGCTGTGCTCCTAAGTTACACCTCGGTGTTAGTTTGTGTCCACATGTGCTCGCTGCTGGTCGTAAAACTCGCTCTTCTCTGTCTTCAGTTCTAGAGTCCTGGTTGGACCACTCCGGCGAGCTCGAGCCTCCTGACCCTCTGTCCCGCCTCCCGCAGCTCAAACAGCGAATCAAACGGCTGCTGTGTGACCTGTGCACCGTGAGGCGCCTGTCGGTCTGCCGCTGACCGCCCTCCCTCTGAACTCTGACGAGACAAAGAGCGTGAAACTCTGAGTTGACTGTGGTTTGTTTCCCTGCAGTTACAGGACAGCGCCCCCCTGTGGTGGAGAAAAGGTGCTCTGCAACAAGATGGTGTTTTTTTGTTTGTTTTTAATACAACGCGACTGTTCCTGAAACGCCTCCAGCCGGACTTGAGAGCCCGTGTGAGCACCAGGCGAGGACGACTTAGGTCATTGATCAGCTGTCATCCGTCTCATCGGGACAGGATGATGTTTGTCTCTGTGGAGGCTGAACGGACGCGTCGTCTGCCATCAGCTCGTTGTTTTTCTGCCAGCCAGCATCGAAGTGTAACAACGCACACAAAGGATTTGGATATCGTATATTTTCTAATTGTACTAATATTGCCAGTACTAATAATTGTTTGTTTGAAAGACTCTTGGAGGGTTTTACAGTCTGGTGAGACCAGGAGGTTCTTAAGGGTTGGTGACCACTAACTGCCAGTTGAGCTAGTGCTAGTTAGTCACAGCAGCTCTCAGAGCTAGTCTCTCTCTCTCTCTTTTTCATCATTTTATTCACCAATGAGGAGAGGAAGAACGCTACAAGCTGACTTAAAGGCCAGCTGTATTATTTTTAAATCATTGGTTCCTTTTTTTTTTAATGTTAGGAATCAGTGCGATGTGGAGCAACAACAAAACGGCTTCAGTGTTCCTCAGGAAGGATACCCTTCAAGCAGCTTATTTTCCTACCCACACATATTTAATCTGACTAATTTACTGCAGGACATACCCCTTACTTTTATTTTGAAAGTCACTGCTTCATTGTTGTGTGGTTCCTGATGACTGATGTCATCACCGCTGGGGTGGGGCAGCACCACAGGTTAATTAATCATTGATCAATAATCATTATGCCCAGTGTGAGGCCAAACACCTTTAGTTTATTTGTCACTTCCAGCATGAAGAGACGTTTACACGTTTGTGTAAAGTCACGACTGATTATGACGACTCGTGAGCGTCTGTGGGACTCTGCAGCAGTTTCAGGTTTCAGCGTTTTTGCTCAGCATTGGACTGATTCCAAGCTTTTTTGTCTTCTGTAATAATTTAAACCCAGAATGGAGCAGCGGGTTTTGTACCACACTGTGAACAGTGAGGCATGTTTAGGCTGGTGTTATACAAATCTTGAATATGGTTCAGTTTTCATGTACGTAAAGCTCTGAACCAGTCAACAAAGATGCAGGAGGTCATCACTGTGCAGACTGCAGCAACAACCAGGCAAAGCCTACTGGGGACTCAGTGGTGAGCAATGGCCTTGATCTGTCCCACGGGCCATGGTTTGTTCCTGGTCTTTGACTGAAGGAGTGATGTCACAGATACATGCAGCTGAAAGAACGTGTGGGCTCAGCCGTAGACTGGACGAGGGGCTGTGGCGTCCCCGAGGGAGCTCAGAGTAGTCGCTGCACCTCCACGTCTAAAGGAGCCCGGTCATTAAAATGTTGCAGAGGGAGTCTACGCCTGGAATACCTACTTAGCCCACTGCCACCAGCAGACGGGCAGAAGGAAGATGGAAAAATCAGCCGCAGGTTAACAGATACTGAGGTTTTCCTTTCACGACCTGTTTCAGTTGCTAATTTGAAGTTGATGCGGTCAGTTTAACCGTTTCAGACAACTAAAAATTCTGCTCCTGCATTTTTCACTCATTCAGAATCAAACAGTATATCTTTTAAAAGCACAAACTCGACACCAAATGGTGTGAACCACTTATAAAGAGCACAGAAACAGTAGCTCTTTGTACTAATCTGTCGTTTCTCACCTCTTTCCGGTCACCTCTGCTGAGCGCTGTTTGCACTACAAGTGTCCAACAAACGAAATGCTTCCAGACTTTCAGTGTCTTCAGTGGAAAAACAGGGTTTAAAAACACGCATGTTTAAATGGATGTAAACAGCTAACTGCAGAGCCGATCACATTCAGTTCTGTTAGAAAGTTATTCGGGGAAATTCTGGGAATCATTTTGCAGGAGGAATTCATCCATTCGTGGTATGATTCACTGCTGGCTCGAGCTGTGAGAGGTCACCCAGATGAGGTTGTGGTGGCAGACTGTCATTAGAGTGTCAGCTTTGGCGTCCTGTTGGTGTTTCTCTGTTAAAAGCCTCATTGAGGGAACAGTTTTCTTCCCCTCCTCCTGTCCTCGTTTATCTGCTTTTCTGCATTTATTTGTTTGTTCAAATACACAGTATCTTGGGTTGTGAACAGCATGATACGTTTTTTATTCTGGACTCTTCAGTGCTAGCTTTGCTTAATTCACAGTTAATAATTTATCTGCTCTGTTTGAAACTGTTTCAGCTCGTCTGCCTTTAAGGCTACTCTTTCCTAATTGGTTGCTCCTCTTAAATAGAAGATTTGGACAGCAGGTGGGTGGGGCTTATGTGCCTGAGATGACCATATTAGTAATATCCTCTTTCTGTGACATCATACAGATCCAGGGATAGAAAAACAGCTGCCTGATATGTGGGCTCACAGCGAATTGTTCTTCATGTTAAACATGAACTTCCACTGCTGGCCGTAGAAATAAGGAAAAGCAGAGTATGTCCCCGGCTTTTTATTTTTTAACAGCTGGCTCATAATAAGTTTTATATGTATGAGTTCTGAACCAGACTGTCCTGCACAGAATCAGATGGAGAAAACTGCAGGTGCTGTTGTTGGTGCAGTCTGCCATTAAAGCAAACAGCCTACTGTTAGATTAAGAAACCCCAGCAGCTTTAAAATGTACATATGTCTGAATGAAGTTTTATATTCTTGAACAAGAAGCTAACTGTACATAGCTGTAGATTTTATTTTGATAGAATGGCTTGAAAGTGGAACTTTCCAGGAAAACAGTTGTTCATTTCATGTTATTTTCAGTTTTTCCTTCAGCGTCTCGTTACACTCTGAAAAACTTACCTGCTTAACGCTGATGTGTCTTTAATCCAACCTGTTGCTTCTCTTCAGTTTTTTAAAGTTTTTTTACCACGCCGGCTAAAGATGCTGTGTTACGTATCGCAGCCCGCAGGGCGTCTGACTCAGACCACATGAACTGTATATAAAAGATGGACACATAACATAAAGTCACCAGAACAGCGCTTCCTGAGATTGGCAATATCAGGAAGCGTCTCATAGACATTTCATCCAATCAGACAGCTTTTCACAGCCACAGTCGCCGCCCTCTGCTGGTCATCAGAAAGCAGGTTTAAGGCGTTTACATCTTTCTTTCATATACAGTCCCAAGTTTTCATTTTTATATTCATACTCTTGTTTAAAGCACGAGGAAATGTGTTTTTCTGAGGAGTTGTAGCTTTGAATAAAGGTATAAAATCCCAGTCGTGTGGTTGTATCACATTCAAGTGTCTGGATTATAAGACCGCAGTGCTTTCCAGATTGAATACGTGCCCACGTGTTCATTACTCCTGTTTGTGGTTTGATTTATTTTAAAAGATTTATTTACTATGGTCAAATTTTTAGTTCAACAAATGAGCACATCTGGATGCTTTTCAGCTATTTAAAGATATAATTTGCATTACTGAGACGACTTTTTAGGCCACATGTATCCCAGCATTGTTGAGTCACGCTGGGCGAAGGAATTATACAGATCACACAAACAGAACAGCTTGGAGAGCTTTTTTATTTTAACTGGAATTGAACGGATTAGAAAAGATTGATACTTACTGAAGAGCTGAGATTATGCTTCAAATATAATCTAAAATCCAGTCTTCAAATATGAGATGAAAATTATCCATAAAACTGGCAAATATTTATCATTTCAAATGTAATATAACTGACCCCAAGATGTTTACAAGGTAACACAGAGCACGAGTTACTCCCTAACCCAAAGCATATTCCTGTTTGTTTCATGCAGTTTTTGTTGTCCCGCTGAGACACTGATGGGTTTTTCTTTGTGTTTAAACCTAAAATCAAAGGCTTTAATCTGAATGAGAGGTTTTCCCAGGCGAAATCAAAAATGTAATAATGATAAAGAATAAAAAGGTTGGAAAATTAAACAAAAAATGTGAGTGAATGGAAAAAAAACCCATTAACATACAGAAATGAAAAGATGGAAACTGTTAAATGTGTGATCGTCTCTCAAACAGCAGCTACAGATTATGCTGATCCAGACTTTAGGTCACAGATTAGAGTCCTCAGCAGAGAAGAGAAACCTCATGTTTAAACCTCTGACGTCCATCATCTGCCGCTCTTCACTGTTGAAGTATGCGGTGCCGTCATGCTCTGATCTCAAGAGCAAACCAGCGTCATTGATACCCACGAGTGAAGAAGGGATATAAATGGCCTGCAATCTTCAGCAGTTAGTTTACTAGATTTGACCAGGATTTCATCATTAAGGGACGGGATGACATTTTATGGTTCTTTCCATCCCATGATCTTCACTTAACTCGTGTTCATGTTAACAATGAGAGAAAAAATGGTGAAAATATTCAGGACAGCAACAGTTTTGAGACACCTGTCCTTTGATAGATGTGTCAGTGTGTGTGCAGTGACACAGAAAGTGTAGTGTTCAGGTCCAGTCAGCCAGATGGCCTCACTGTGCGTCCGCAGACCACCGGGACATTTCCTGTTGGCACAGTCTGTGTTACACACTACAGTCCACTGAGCAGCAACATAAAAATGGTATTTCCAGGATTTTATAGACGAGCTGGGACAGTAAGGATTGCATCATTAGTCTGATAAACAGGCCTGTAATCTCCACACAATTTCCAAAGAACCCAGGACAACAGCCTGTAAGACAGATCAGCTGATCAGAATATAAATGCAAAAACACAGTCCTGGTGGATAAAGCTGCTCAGAGGAACTAAGGTCTTTGATCCATTTGTTTCTGCATGGTGACCAATATTTGAGCTTAATCTCATTGTGCTGGACGATTTTCAGCTGCTGCTGAAATAATTTGGACTTTAATTTGGTTTCATTTCATCTGTTTTTACAACATGCACAAAAAGAAACCATTCTTTCGTTTTTTCAGTTTGAAACTAAATGCCAGGATTGTGTTTCTCTTCTTGCCAGAAAACCGAACATCCCATCTGGCTTCCTCACTGGTTAACTCTCCATTACTCCTACATTAATGAAGAAACTACCAACTCAAAGTTGGTAGAGAGATAAAATGTAATCCTGTGTTTTGTCTCAGACTGATTATTATTTCCTGTTCCAACACGACTGTGCACAAAGCAAGGTCCACAAAGGCATGGATGAGTGAGTTTGGTGTGGAACAACCTGACTGGCCTGCACAGAGTCCTAGTCCTGTACTCAGGCTGACAGAACACTTTTGGGATGAATTCGAGCGGAGACTGCGAGGCAGGCAACTGCGCTTGTGGAAGAATGTTCAAAAACTCTAATAAACCTGCACAAAGCCTTCTTAGAAGAGTCGAAGCTGCTATAGCTGCAAAGGGTGGTCCGACATTATATTTGACCCTATGCATTAAAATTGGGATGTCACTCAAGTTCACATATATGTGAAGGCAGACAAGCGAATACTTTTGTTAATATAGTGTGGCATAAATATATCGTAATATAACATAAAGTCATTGTAGGTGTGTTATTAAGGTTTATTAAATATTTAATTCTTTTTTAACACATTTACAGTAAGAGGAAGAACAAACCAATGTCTCTACATACAGTCATGGAACAGAAAGTACACTCTTTGAGTAACAACATTTAATATATCAGGACATAATAAAAAGCATTGTGTCTATTTCAGGACTTGAAATGAGGTAAATCCAACCTTAAATGAACAACACGTGACATATTACACTGTGTCGTTGTTTACTCCTCAAGAGGTGTGTACAAAATGTAGTAGTCCCTTACTGCTCCCATAAAAGTTAAGCAGGTCAGTTGGTTTGATTAACCGATTATCAGGATTTGGGAGCACCTCTGTGATAGAGAGGTGCTGTACAAGAGCATTCAGGTGTGTGAACACAGTGCCACAATCTTTAAAGTGGTCGATGTTCCAGCAAATTCCCCTCAAGGTCAGACTATACAATGCTCAGAGAAATGTAAAAGATCCCAGGCCGCATTTAAATGTTTAAGATCAGGACAGGACCATTGAAAGACTGAATGTTAAACAAGTGCAGTTTATTGAGCAGATTTGCAGAAGAAAGTCTTGTCTCTCTAAAAAGAACATGGCAGCACAGCTTAGATTTACTGCATCTTAACAAACCACAAGACTTCTGGAACAATGTCCTTCAGACAGATGAGAGCTAAATGCAGATGTTTGCATATATAATGCACAGAACAACACTTGGAGTAAAGCAAACACATCAGTACAAACACCTCACACCAACTGTATGCACGGAGGCTGAGGGTTGGTGATTTGGGCACCTTGCAGTTATTGACCATGAACTGTTTTCTATACCAAAGTACTCTGGAGTCAAATGTGAGGCCACAGCTAAAGCTCAGATCAAATTAAATCATGCAACATGACTCAGTGTTGGGAAGGTTACTTTTAAAATGTATTCCACTACAGATTACAGACTACATGCCCCAAAATGTATTTTGTAACGTATTCTGTTACGTTACTAAACGAGAGTAACGTATTCTGAATACTTTGGATTACTTAATATATTACCATGCTTTTACAACTACATGAATGTACTATTGCCGTGTGATTTATTACTGTTACTGAAGGTCCGCGGCTCCGAACCGTAGTAAAGGGATCTCTGACTAATTTGCTAATTTAATCAAATTAAAAACTACAAATAAAGTTTAGCAGTAAAAATTTATATATAT